TATCAGCGAAATACTCACCGTCCTAGCCAATTTCGTTGAGCGTGCTGGTGCTGCGGAGGAACTGTAAGTCCTACTGTGCGTCCTCTTAGCTTGTACGCGCTGATGTATGTCAAATCAGCGATGGCGGCTGGCAGTCACTGATGAGGAGCTTCATCGACTCTGTTCAGGTTGTCACCGGGCAGCCTGTCGATGGTGCCCATGGTTCGAATGGCGATGCAAGGATAGCCGTCGAACAAGAGCTGGAGGCACTCCACAATGAGATTGAACAACTCAGCGCTGAGGTCGGTAGTGGTGTCTAAGACTCACTATCCTAGACTTACGTTTGTCACAGCGGAGCACGTTGCGAGACGAGCTGAACCAGCAGACAGCTGAGATCAATACTCTGCGATCGCTTTCTTCCAACATCCCTGTCCCTCAAGCGAAGAGTTATGGAAAAGCTGGTGGCGAGGTGAAGATCAGGTTTCTCTCTCCTCACTCATGTTTTCTGACTTTTGTCGTAGAACTTCCATGGCCTCGTACAGCGTCTCGTACAGAAGGAGAAACAGGTTCTGCAGCTGCAAGCTGAGCTGGACCGATTCAAGGCGCAGAATCCCAGCGAGAATCGGGAAGCCGTAAGCTTCTCCTTTTCACTGCGTGCCATGGATTTCATGTATCGTACTTATAGGATGAGCGTGCAAAACGCGAGCGCGACAAGGCGAAATGGAACAGTCTGATGGACGAGATTGCAAAGCTGAAGATCAAGGTCAGTGGTTCATGATGGCGAAGCATAACTGTTCTGACCTAGATAACCCATAGGTTGGCGATCTCGAAAGCGCCTTGGCTCACAAGGACAAAGATCTTACCTATCTCAAGCGTGCACTCGAGTCTGTATATTCACGCTTCCGTACCAGAGAAGAGACTCGAGATGAGGCAGAAGTGGACGCTCAACTGATCGCCTCGCGGACCATCGAGAGTCTCACCCGGAAGGAAGACGAGATTGCAGATTTACAAACACAGATAGCAGACCTCAAAGTCCAACTGGCTGCAAAGCCGAAGTTCGTTACAGAAAAGGACTTCAAAGCTCAATTCGCACCTCCGCCGCCGCCCCCTCCGCCACCACGATCGAGGCAGGTCACCACGCCTCAAGGCACGCCAACGCCAGCCTCAGAGACCGACGCAAGCTCATCGTCAGATCGCAGCCTAGTAACGTCTCCGACTTCTCTAGATTCACCTTCACATGCACCACCACCCCCTCCTCCTCCTCCTCCTCCTCCTCCTCCTCCTCCCCCTGCATCTGTGGCTCCACGCTCAGTAGCAGCCCCGCCACCGCCACCGCCACCGCCACCACCCCC